AATGTCCACAAAATATTGACTGTCTATGTTTAACTATTCTAAGTTTACGACTTTCGTCTGTCTCGATGAGGACTGCTTTCTTCGTTTTTCTCCCCATCCATAATATTCTTTGCTTTTTGCCATCTATCTATCTATCTATCTATCTATCTATCTATCTATCTATCTATCTATCTATCTATCTATCTATCTATCTATCTATCTATCTATCTATCTATCTATCTATCTATCTATCTATCTATCTATCTATCTATCTATCTATCTATCTATCTATCTATCTATCTATCTATCTATCTATCTATCTATCTATCTATCTATCTATCTATCTATCTATCTATCTATCTATCTATCTATCTATCTATCTATCTATCTATCTATCTATCTATCTATCTATCTATCTATCTATCTATCTATCTGTCTGTCTGTCTGTCTGTCTGTCTGTCTGTCTGTCTGTCTATCTATCTATCTATCTATCTATCTATCTATCTATCTATCTATCTATCTATCTATCTATCTATCTATCTATCTATCTATCTATCTATCTATCTATCTATCTATCTATCTATCTGTCTGTCTGTCTGTCTGTCTGTCTGTCTGTCTGTCTGTCTGTCTGTCTGTCTGTCTGTCTGTCTGTCTGTCTGTCTGTCTGTCTGTCTGTCTGTCTGTCTGTCTGTCTGTCTGTCTGTCTGTCTGTCTGTCTGTCTGTCTGGCTGGCTGGCTGGCTGGCTGGCTGGCTGGCTGGCTGGCTGGCTGGCTGGCTGGCTGGCTGGCTGGCTGGCTGTCCGTCCGTCCGTCCGTCCGTCCGTCCGTCCGTCCGTCCGTCCGTCTGTTTGTCTGTCTGTCTGTCTGTCTGTCTGTTTGTCTGTTTGTCTGTCTCTCGGTCGGTTGGTCGGTCGGTCTGTCTGTCTGTCTGTCTGTCTGTCTGTCTGTCTGTCTGTCTGTCTGTCTGTCTGTCTGTCTGTCTGTCTGTCTGTCTGTCTGTCTGTCTGTCTGTCTGTCTGTCTGTCTGTCTGTCTGTCTGTCTGTCTGTCTGTCTGTCTGTCTGTCTGTCTGTCTGTCTGTCTGTCTGTCTGTCCGTCTGTCTGTCTGTCTGTCTGTCTGTCTGTCTGTATCTTTATCCATCCGCCTGTCTGTTTGTCTGTCTGTCGGTTGGTCGTTCGGTCGCTCGGTAGGTCTGTCTGTCTCTCTGTCCGTCCATCCGCCTGCCTGCTTATCTAACTATTTGTCTCTCTATACACCCCCATTTCCCATCCCTTCTCTTCCAATTCATATTCCCAACGTTTATCTGCACCATCCCGCATTCCCCACACAAAATACCCACATCTGCCTCTGTTACTCTATGAAATGTTTTCAGAACTTCAGCCGCCGAATGAAAGAAACACACATTTTCACGTAAAATATTCCCGGGGTTATTTCTTTGGTCGACACCGGTGTCAATAAATTGGACGGAACGTTTTTCATTTCCTGTAATTTCTCTGATTACTGTTTCTGAGCAAAGTTGTTGCTTCTTTTATTATTATGTTATGAATGTTTTATGTATAGTTGTCGGTTTACTGCATGTTTCAAATTTGTCTTGCTGTTAATGTTGTGTATATAATCACCAGAATGCATTCTCACATGAAGGTCGCTGTGATTGTTTCATATTGTGGATTTTGCAGTATTTATTTAGTTTATTGTTTCTTCCTCACCGTCTTTTCTTCTTCGCTTTTGATGCTAAAGCTGCTTTATCTTTGAAAAAAAATTATGGCGGGGGTGTTGGGGGGGGGGGGGTTGGTCAGTCCGGCGTTGCCTGTTTATCTGTCTGTATATCTGTGTGGCTAGTTGTCCTTTGAAGAGTTATATTTCTGCACTGCTAAAGATGTAAAAAGGAGATGGGTGAAGGAGAAGGAGGTAAATGAAAGGGGGGGGAGGTGAGAGAAAAGGAATATAATAATAATTATAATAAAAATAAGAAGAAGAAGAAGCAGAAGAAGAAGGAGAAAGAAGAGGAGGAGGAGAAGAAGAAGAACAAAAACAAAACAGCAACAACAATGACAACATCAACAACAACAACAAAAGAGGCACACAGGAAGCAGAAGCTTATACTTCATGTTGATGATGATGATGATAACGATGATGATGATTGTGGTTGTGGTGGTAAAGGAAGAAGAGTTGAAAAAGACGAGTAAAGAAGAAAGACTGATGTTCCATGCCCTTAATGGAGGCATATAATGCTACTAAGGGTAACAACACGTCTAATATCCTCATGTTAGCCTAATGCAGAGTCAAATCACCCTGTCTACAATAACAATTTATTACACATTTTGTCTACCCAAACATGGCGGAATCAATGTGAGGATTAATCACAGAGCCGTCACGTTGTTAATCATAAATCCATTCTTTATTACACTTCGTCCATCCCACAATTCTTCTATGCTAGGACTTCTTAGCGAAGCTATTTCCGTTTCCTCAGAAATCTTCCTTTTTTTCCCCTCTGTATCAATGTTTCAGAACTCCTTTCCTCGCTCTAACGCTGCGTTAATTTTCGGACGTGGATTATCTTTCTTTGCAAACGTGTGGGGTGTTTTGTGTCTTTTCATTTTAGAAGTTCTATTTTATATATTTTTAGAATATGTTTCTTTGTTACCTCATTTTTTTTTCCCTATCGTAAATCCTAAAACAATTTTATCACGTGTTTTCAAGGTTGGATTATCCTACTGCTGTTTGAAGCTGAGATGGCAAAGTGGATAGAGGGTGTCCTTACCACAAGATCGGCTAGCGTTTAATCTCTCCGTGTAAAGTGAATAGGTTAAAGAACTTCTCTCAAGAGCCAGTAGCCGTATTTTAAAAGCATGGTATATGGCTCCTAATTCGAGCTTTTTCACCTTTACTCATATTGTAATCACACACACACACACACACATATGTGCACTTTTCAAGCTTATTCTTTTTTCTTTTCTTGTTTTCCTCAGATGAATAACAGTCACTGAGAGCGAGCAGAACCGATACACAGTGAGTTATATCATATTATAAATATACAGCTGGACTTATTCACTGTCCTTTGCTTCCTCCACGTTGTTCTTGTAGTTGTTATTGTTGTATATGTTGTTTTTGTTATTATTGTTGATTATGTTGTTGCTGTTCTTCTTCTTTTTTTTATGCTATTACTTTTACTGCTCCTCCTCTTCCTCCCTCTTTTTCTTTATTTCTCCTCCTCCTTCTCCTTCTGCTTCTTCTTCTTCTTCTTCTTCTTCTTCTTCTTCTTCTTCTTCTTCTTCTTCTTCTTCTTCTTCTTCTTCTTCTTCTTCTTCTTCTTCTTCTTCTTCTTCTTCTTCTTACTGTGCGTCTATCTTTCAAAGGATGCTTGTCATGTTGAGCGTTGCTTTATTGTTAAGCTGTGATATCTGCCCTGTTCGACCAAACAACATTCTAGAAACCGGTGATTATTCGCTGTTTGTTATATGCTACTTAGAAACAATGAGTCTTTTCTATTTCTCCTTCTCCAAATTACGGCCCTGATACCCATTTAGTTATCTCCTATTTCAAACGGCTACTGTTTAACACTAAATAAGCTAATTGTTTTACTTTTCATAAATGGTTAACAATATAGTGTTAATCAAATTATTTATTATATACGTTTTTTTTTTCAAATGTAATGTTGGATGGGGAGATCGACTGGCATAAGAAGCCGAAAAACCAACATTTGGATTCGTTTACATTCTCCTTAAATGTTATTTTGGCTGTTTAAAATGTACCACGAGAAGTAGGTAGGTAGGTAGTTGATATCATACAAGCGATAAACACCCGGTGACACAAACTGCCACCATGCGGATGAGGATCACCCTTGGAATACCTTTTCAGCGGTTAGGCCATATTTATGGCCCTGCTGTATTCAAGGCTCCCGGCAAAAGTCATGATGGGGCTTTAAAATAACACACACAAAAACAACAACAACACACACACACACACAAAAATACATCTTACGAGGGGACGACTCGTCTAACATAACGAGAAGTACCGACATCATACCTGGTGCAGAATGGATACCTGTGCCTCAGGCGTTTATTTGTACATTTTCCTGTATTGTCACACTCAACAGGCGATGTAGAGAAGATAATCCTGTTGCTGTTAATGCAGAGGTCAACGCTCTCATCGGTGAAAATTCAGACGAAGCAGATGCACTAATCTATACAGACGGATCAGTTATACGCCAAAGAAGAAGCGCATGGGCATTTACAGCACGCTCAGCGGGCAGAACAGTCAAAGAAGCCAACGGCGCCTTCTCCATGACAACCAGCAGCATGACGATGGAGGTGATTGCAGTGACGCAAGCGTTTTGCCTGGCTTGAAACACAAAAATACACCCGCATGTGTATACTCATGTGATTCAATGAGTATGATCCGGAGGGTTCAGGCAGGTTCGTGCGAAGACAATGGCTTGAATCAATTCAGAAGTCCACTGTGCGAGGAGTCACCTTTATTTTTGTTTCGGGACACGCAGGCGTCGATGGAAATGAAGAGCTGACAGGTTGGCTGGATCCGCTATCACTACCGACCCGTCGGCCTATGGATCATGCTGATATTATCAATGCCCTCAGAGAAATGGGAAGGATAGAGGACTTTGGTGGCAGTGAATCCACATCACTCGCCAGAATGGCAGATTTGGGAATTACGATCGGCACAGCAAAAAACGAGACGCACACCGGACACGTCAGAAGACTTGTTAATCAACATAGAACTGGTACTATTAGCCATCGGACGTTGGGGTTCATACTGAGGGGAGGATCTGAGCACCTATGGACATGTCCGGAGTGCAATGATGATAACCCAACTAACTAACTAACACTAACTAACTAACTAACTAACTAACTAACTAACTAACTAACTAACTAACTAACTAACTAACTAACTAACTAACGAGAAGTATAGTTATTGTTTTTTTTTTTTTTTTTTACATTTTTTTTTTTTTTTTTTTTTTTTTTTTTTTTTTTTTTTTTTTACATTTATTTCACTGTCAATGGCGATTAGTCAAACAGACCAAAGCCCATGTTATCATCAGATGCTTCATCAGATTCATCTTTCTTTTCCTCTTTCTTGGCTTCTGCGGCGGCAGGTTTGCCTGCAGCTGGGGCAGCAGCAGCAACTGGGGCAGCAGCGGCCGCAGGTCTAGCACCAGCAGAACTTCCAACATTGGTGATCAGATCTCTCACATTGAGTCCATCCAATGCCTTGGCAAAAAGCCCTGGCCAGTATGGCTCAACAGAGACTGCAGCTGCCTTGAGAAGGGTTGCAATCTTTTCACCAGTGATTGCTACTTGATCATCAGCCAAGATGAGGGCAGCATATACGCAAGCGAAAACATCTACATTTGCCATTTTACAAATTTAGTTGCGAGTGGGTAAAGATTGTTGTGGATAACGTGTATGTCGCCGGATTGGCCTCAGCTCGATTGAGAACACTACACCTTCACAACAGCTTGAGAACTATAGTTATTGGCTGCATTCGCGCTTGCGAAAACCTTTGACTGATGGGAATATGAATACATCAACTAGCAATAATTAACATTCACATTTACTTAGGGTTTTCCTACGAGCTAATGGTTTTATAATGTCAAAGTGACGTAAGATTTTTCTTTTCCTAATGTCATTGATTGAGGTCATGGGGTCACGGCATGAGTCACTGGAAACACGTGTCTGGGTTTTAGGCCCCGGAAGATGTATACCGATCAATCATTAGCGACCTAGGCATCGCCCACTGGCTCACCGGTAGATGCCTTCATCGCTGGTCCGGACACTTTTTGAGTTTGTCTCCCTTGATCGCGTTAACACAGCGGGAGTCCTTTTTCAGGGCTGTTGGTGACAGGCGGTGCTAGGCCAGTTTGGATGCAGTGGACATAATATATAACTTAAAGCTCCCCCAGGGATGCCGATTGAACTTTACGAACCCCCCCCCCCCCTCCCCCCCCCCCCAGCAAAGCACATACCTATCATCGCGATCGATGCTTCAACTCTTTTTTTTTTTTTTATTGATTCCGGTTAGTTGGGTATCCTTTACAGGACGATGCAGAACCAACCCCAGCAGCCCATAGATGTTGTGTGGTTTCTCTAGGCAAGTTTACGTCCAGTTGTTTGCCATTGCTTTCTGGACAATCGGCTTCTTGATAACACTGTCGAAACCAACGCAAGGCGCATGGCTCGCAGCTGGGATCGATCCGGCACCCCCGCATTACGAAGCTTTCGCATCGACTTAGCCACAAAGCCGACTGTTTATTGATTTCTACTGTCAATTATCAATAAATACTTTGATAATTAATTTTAAAATATCGATTATACATTCTTAACGATTCGATTAGTGACCTGTGTAAAAATTATAAATATACACACACACACACATATATATATATGTTCCAATTATTTTGTTTCTGGAATTCTGACCGTTTCATAGCCTATAGTTTTTAGAGATCCCGAGGCGAAGCTTTTGTGTTCCGCCACCCCTGCTGCTTGAGTCACATAATGGATTTATTTGCTTTTCTACAAGCACTTCACTATTTTTATCATTTCCATATATCTCAAGAGAATCTTCAATTTCAGGTTTTTTAGGAGCTGTGAATCAGTTTATTAACTGTTTGACAGACAGACAGACAGACAGACAGACAGACAGACAGACAGACAGACAGACAGACAGACAGACAGACAGACAGACAGACAGACAGACAGACAGACAGACAGACAGACAGACAGACAGACAGACAGACAGACAGACAGACAGACAGACAGACAGACAGACAGACAGACAGACAGACAGACAGACAGACAGACAGACAGACAGACAGACAGACAGACAGAAATAAGGGAGGAAAGTAAAAAAAGAAGAATGAAAGTGGGCTGGGGAGGGGGGTGTGGGGAATAAGAGGGGAAAAACCCAGATAATATGCTTCAAAATAAAGAATGAATATTTTTGATTTAAATAAAACTTCCTCAACATTTTGACAAAGTATGTGGAAGTAAAGCAAGCTAAAAAATGATAGGGAAAAAAAAAGATATTAAATACCTCTCCAAGAAACGAAGTCTAAGCTGGAATGGGCGGGGGACATAAAAACGTAATAAATAATCTATACCAATGGTTCTAATTTGATGGTCCGCGCACCATTTGTGGTTTGTGGAATACACTTGAATGGTCCCGAATATCATTCAGAGATAAACGTACAAAACGTATAAATTTACTCTTTTTCTAATAATAAATATTGGAAGATTTAAAAAAAAAATGATATATGTTTAATACACTGGCAAGAACATGACTGAGAACACCATATTGACTCCTCAAATCAAACCTGCAGAAAGTATGACATGAAAATAAACACGCGAAAACTGAGATACTGACAATAATCATGAACATTATAACATAAATGTTCATGTTAACGGTACTACAATCAAACAGGTACGAGAATTTCAATTTCTAGGAGGCATATTAACGGAAGATTGTAGACTTGATAGAGAAATAGAAGCCTGAGTACAGAAGGCAAATTCTGTCACCTACCAATTAGCCCCACTGCTTAGTCACCTCTTATTTCTCCTTTCAGCAAAATAGCAAATGATTAATAGCATCCTTGTTCCTACTTTTTGCTATCAGTGCCAAACATAAACCAAAAATAGGGCACGAGAACAGAAAATAGCTACATGTGAAAAGGGTTGTATCCGCAAGGTCACTAACAAAACAAGAGGTGCCAGGGTTAAGAATACCAGCTACAGAATGAAAGTTGGAATAAGACCATGTATGTATTGTATTGACAGACACAGTTTTTGTTAAACATCCGCCTAGATGCAAATTGGCAATAAAGACATTTGGGCCGACATTTTGGGTCAACAAACATTAAAACCAATACTAAACTTGAAACTGTTAACTCTAGTGTTAAATCAGTACTGCTATACTGCAGAACAACTAGAACAATCCCTAATAATCTACAATGGAGCCGCTGTGGTCTACGGCTAGACGCTCGACTGCGGATCGGAAGGTCGTGGGTTTGGTTCCTGACGGGGACCGGACTTTTGTCAAAAAATTAACTTAGCTCCCAGGTGAGGGCCCCGGTGACACACGGGCGTACTTCTACTACTACTACTACTACTACTACTACTACTAAATTCCATTCTTGGTGTTAGCAGTTCCTGCTTTCATAATCCAGTCTATAGACAGTAAAAATAAGAGGGGCGACAAAAGACATCCCTGTCGCACACCTGTATTTATTTCAAATGTATCTGTTAGCCTTTCCTCATGAAGAACTCGACATTTCATGTCTTTATATGTCGTCATTACTAAGTTAATAATTTTCTGAGGAATTCCATGGTGCCCCATCAGAATGATTCCCTATCAATGCTGTCAAATGATTTTTCATAGTCTATAAATCCAATGTAAAGTGGTGAGTTCAGTTCAATGCTTTGCTCTATTATAATACGTAATGTGGCTATTTGGTCAGTACAGGATCTGTTTGACCGAAAACCTGCCTGTTCATCTCTTAGCTTTTTATCTATAGCATCTTTTAATGTTTCCAAAATAATTCTACTTAATATTTTTCCAGGACTTGACAGCAACATAATTCCTCTATAGTTTTCGCACTCCTGTAGATCACCTTTTTTGGGCAGTTTCACAAGATACCCTTCTCTCCGGTCTGCTGGTATTTCTTCGGTCTCCCAGACTTTACTATATAATCTGTGTAGCAATTCTGTTGATGTGTTTATGTTGGCCCTAATGGCTTCAGCTGGGATACCATCAGGGCGTGCCTTTCCTTCCTTGAGAAAATTGATAGCTTTTCAAATTTATTTTTTAGATGGTATCTCACAGTTAATTTCCAGTTAAATTTCTAGAAGCTGGATATCTCTGAGAGCCTCTGGACCTGGTCTATTTAAAAGCATTTCAAAATATTCAACCCATCTGTCCATTTGATCTTTAGTGTTAGAAGGTACCTTACCTTGACTATTTTTGATTGATCCAGTTGGCTGACTGTATTTACCTACTAATTTTCTTGTGTTACTGTAAAGTTTCCTGAGGTTGCCTTTTGCTGCTGCTGTCTTCGCTTATTGTGCTAGGTCATTTAGATATCTCACTTTATCTGCCCTTTCCCGCCTCCTAAATTCCTTATTGGCTTCTGTGTATTTATCATGATCTTTAGCTTTGGCAGCTCTAGTTTTGCTATTGTTTAAGTCTGCCTTTTTTTTTTCTTTTTTCAATCAATTTAATGGTTTCTAGTGTTATCCATGCTTTATGTTTTTGTTCTCTCTTGTTAAGAACTTCTACATAAGATTCATCCCAGATCCCTTTGATCTGATCCCAGCAGACTTCTGTGCTGACATATTCAGCTAACTGCTGCAACACCTGGTACTTATTAGAGACTGTAACTGAAAAACTGTTCCTTAACTTCTTTATCCACCTACAATATATTGGTTTCTATGATTATAAAATAGTATATATCTTTTAAGTTTCATCTTGATTTTACTTACCACCAGGAAATGGTCAGTAAATACATCGGCACCTCTGAAAGCCCTAACATCGTAAAGTGATGATGTAAACTTTTTGTTAATATATAGGTGATCACTTTGATTAGTTGTCTTATGGTCTGGTGATTCCCATGTTGCCTTGTGTATTCTTTTATGGGTAAAAATACCTCCACCAATAACATACTGGTTTCCTGCACAAAAATGTTGTGCAATTTAAAAATAGTACCCTTTTTTAACTCCTGTGAAATTTCTTATTTGTTCCAGATTTTAAAAAAATCTCACAAAATAGTTTTGACGTTTTAGTTTCCTCCACTTTCAGCATTTCTGGGCAGATGCCATCACATCCAGGTGCTCTGTTAACCTTTTGAGCTTTAATCGCCTCTCTAACCTCTGCTTTTGAAAAAAAGCCCTAGGCCTATCTGTATGTCTTTCTGTGCCACAGGTATATCAGCAAAGAACAGGTGGGTGTCGCGAGTCCCTGAGTGGATAGACGATTTTGTGATGAGTAGGGGTTTTCCTCTCACTTCACCTCCACCAGATAAACTGGACTAATACCTGAGCTATGTTGGTCTCAGACACACTCCTGGATATTCAAAAAAAAAAAAACAGCCATAGTTAGTTCGTTATGTTAACTAACAGCAGCTGCACATGATACCCACAGAAGAAGGAAAAGGGTTTTAGATGTCTAGATTATTATAATTGATGAATTATTAGACAGGACAGGTGACCCCTCCCGACTACCTTCTCCTGGTAAAGAATTATTAATGAGCTCCCACTAAATGCAGTTCTATCTAACAGTTTGGCTAAACATGTAAGAACAAACACTTGGAATTTGACAAACGATGCAGTATAAAACTATATATGTGATTTTTTTACACTAGCAATCA